AAAGACCATTGGCCGGGCACATTGGCTCACGCCCGTAATGCCAGCATTTTGGGAGGCTGAGGTGGGTGGATCACCTGAGGTCAGGAGTTCAAGACCAGCCTGGCCAACATGGTGAAACCCCCTCTCTACTAAAAATGCAAAAATTATCTGGGTGTGGTGGCAGGCGCCTGTAATCCCAGCTACTCGGGAGACTGAGGTATAAGAATCGCTTGAACCCTAGAGGCGGAGGTTGCAGTGAGTGGAGACCGTGCCACTGCACTCTAGCCTGGGAGATAGAGCAAGACTCCATCTCCAAAACAAAAAAAAAGAAAGAGGCATCATTTTAGATAGCGTGGTGTTAAGTCCAGTTAAAGCTATCTCTATATATTTTAACTTCAGTGCTGGGAATGTTAAAAAATTAAAAATAAATTAACTGGTGTGTGCCTGTAGTCCCAGCTACTTGGGAGGCTGAGGAGGGAGGATCACGTGAGCCCAGGATTAGGAGGCTGCAGCAAGACCATGTCTCAAAAAATAAAATAAAATACTTTTTACAGCTAATGGAATAAAAGAGGTGTGAAAGTGAATTCCTGTGTTTTGAAATTATAAGGAATAAAATGAATAATCACTTGGTGATTAGATTATATTAGCGATTCTCCACTGAGGCTGATTTTGATCTGCAGGGTCAAATGTGGCATCTAGTAGAGGCCAGGGAGACTACTAAATATCCTACACAATAGCCCACATACACACCCACACACAACAAAGAATTTTCTACTGCAAAGTATCAGTACTATCTCAGTTGGGAAACCCTGGGTTAAAGAATTTTACAATCCTTTGTAATCATGAGATTGTCTGATTGTAGGTCTTCTCTTTTTCTGAAGGTTGAGAGTTCATTGAAAATTATTTTTGTGAGTTTTAAACTTCTCTTCATAACAAGTTTTTGTACTTTAATATGTAGGTATTTTTATAATAATTCTAATAGCTTTCTCTCTTCCTGCTGTGAGCCTGTCATAGGATTATAATCACTGCAGAAATGAGTTGTGTCATCTCTAAGGAGAACTACAAACAGCATTGTTGCTCTTCAAATTCTTCTTGAAACTTAGAAATTTATTATTTATTATATTTTCCCAGAAAAACAAGTCTATAAAGCTTAATAGCCTGGAGAATAATTTGGAGACAGAACCTTAACAGATAACTTAAATGAGGAGACATTCATTTTATGAAATTGGAATCTTTACCAGTGACTCTTAATGAATGCCAAAGGTATTATCATTGTTATGATAGTCAAAATGCATTTTCTGCCTTCAGGCCTTAAATCTGGCAAGACAGGTTGTTCCTGTTGTGTGTGAAGTTTCATTCCTTCCTACGGAGTCAAGTGATTTTTTTGATTTGTGCCTTTTCCTGCCATTTTCTTATATCCATGGTCATTGCACATATTTTCCAGAAGTGCATACCCAATTAACATACTTCGTTTGTGTTTTCTTTCCATAACAAAGGAGACTCACTGCTGATAAAACTGTTTGTTTTCACGATTTCAGGAGTAAATAGCTATGTTCTAGTTGTTCCTTGATTTAGTGTGTTCAATCACGGTTCTTCATCTCTTAATTTTGGTGTGTTCTTTCTTGTGAACGATTTGTTACATAAAAGAATGAAAGAAAATAGAATTATAGACATTAGACTTAGAAGAAAAATAGTCTTCTGCCCTTTGGTAGGTAAAGCATTAATTTGTATTTCCACTTTAGAGCTGAAGTAGCATCCACAGCTTGGAACTGCCAGAAGAGTTATTTTATTTATTTATTTTATTTTTTATTTTATTTTATTTTTTTATTTTTTTATTTATTATTATTTTTTTTTGAGACGGAGTTTCACTCATGTTACCCAGGCTGGAGTGCAATGGCACGATCTCGGCTCACCGCAACCTCCGCCTCCTGGGTTCAGGCAATTCTCCTGCCTCAGCCTCCTGAGTAGCTGGGATTACAGGCACACGCCACCATGCCCAGCTAATTTTTTGTATTTTTAGTAGAGACGGGGTTTCACCATGTTGACCAGGATGGTCTCGATCTCTTGACCTCGTGATCCACCTGCCTCGGCCTCCCAAAGTGCTGGGATTACAGGCGTGAGCCACCGCGCCCGGCCTATTTATTTTTTTTTGAGACAGAGTCTTACCCAGGCTAGAGTGCAGTGGCGCGATCTCAGCTTACTGCAACCTCTGCCTCCCGGGTTCAAGCGATTCTTCTGCCTCAGCGTCCTGTGTAGCTGGGATTACAGGCACCCACCCCGCCCCCCCCCACCAGCTAATTTTTATATTTTTAGTAGAGAGGGGGCTTCACCATGTTGGCCAGGCTGGTCTCGAACTCCTGACCTTGTGATTCACCCACCTTGGCCTTCCAAAGTGCTGGGATTGCAGGCGTGAGCCACTGTGCCTGGCTGGAACTGGCAGAAGAGTTTTGTACACAGGCTTATACATAAGCAGACAATTTTCTTTATCCTTTGGGCCTGTCAGGAGTTGGAACTGGTACTCATTAATGGTTTGTGACATGCTTCTCTCGGTGGAATTTTGACCTTTTCTTGATGATATAGGTTGCAAGTTTTAGTAAAGTTTTAGATTCTCAAGTATTTTGAGTGGCTTCTCTCAGAACTCATAAAATTATAGTGGTTAAAAAATACTCCGTCTATTTTGGCTTAGAGGGTGAAAAAAGTACTTGAACTTCTCAGATAAAAAGCTTCGAAATACCAAATGTTCTTACAAGGACTTGATAATTTGTTATTTAAATAATGTGGTATATTTTTGTACTTGAAGTTGTCCTTTAAAAGAATCCTTTCAGTCTTTCTGCTTGTGTTAATGATGGAGATATGAAAGCAGATTTTTTTTCTTTAAATAAGAAAAGGTGTCACTCTGTTGACCAGGCTCTGGAGTGCAGTGGCATGATCACAGCTCACTGCAGCCTTAACCTCCTGGGCTCAAGGGATTCTCCCACTTCAGCCTCTTGAGTAGCTGGAACCACAGGAGTACGCCACCATGCCTGGATAATTTTTAATATTTTTTGTGGAGATGGAGTCTCCCTATGTTGCCCAGAATGGTCTTGAACTCCTGGCCTCAAGTGATCCTCCCACATCAGCCTCTCAAAGTGCTGAGATTACAGTCATGAGCCACCGCACTGTGTACGAAAGCAGAGTTTTAAAGAATGGTTAGATCTTAATCTTAGCTGCATTGCCTCCTAAGTGTTTTTGTATGTGCCTACCTCTTAAATGAAGAATTTTTTTTTTCTAAATAGTATTTAATAGGCAACATTTCACTTGTTTAGAAAGGTATGTGCACTATGCCTTTCTAGAGTGTCTGTGGAAGCTTGTGATCTCTGGTCCTGAGTTCTCCTGTCTTCCTTTTCTCTTAAAATGAATGCAGTAGACTGCTCAATCCACTTTCTAGTCTGATTTTTCTGGCTGTTGGTTTTTCTCTGTTAAGTGAAGTGTGCACTGCATTGAATAGGAATACATTCTAAAATCTAGGCAAATAGGAATGTGTTAATATCCTTCTATACTGGCGTCTGGGGCACTAGTACTTTTAAAAATAGACTAGCAGGAATCTGTAACTGAGGGTTTTTTAGATTATAGTCAATGCCTCCAGTGACAATGTATGAATATTTTTAAGTTATAACTAAAGATGACTCCTTAATGTTATGTGAATCTATAAAAACATAACAAATATGACGGATAAAAGTATTAGGTGATGTCTTTTATTTTGAGAAGTGTGCTCTCATAATGCCCCTTAGAGACAGGCAGCAAAATATCTTTAACAACTGTATGCAACCAGTGAAAAAATTGAATTTGTATCTCTTGGCTGTTTTACCAAGGTTATCCTTGGTTAGACTATATATAACATTCCTATATAGACTATATATAATATTCCTACATGTAATATTTTGACATCCCTGAAATCAAAACTTTATTTCTTCAGTTGTGTTTAAATGAATTTTAGTAAAAGACTCTTGCTTAAGATTTTTTCTCTTGGTTCTTCAGATCTTGACTAGAGCCAGACAGCTGGATGTGTGCTTTTTTTTACTGAGTTTGTTCATTACTTCATTTGTTCCACTATTTAACAAATTATAACGTATATACCATGTGTCAGGCACTTTGTTACAATTCTATCTGGTATTTTTTTTTTTAATCATTTCAGGACTGGTGAGGAATATTTTAATATCTCAAGATGGTGTTAAATTGGGATCATGTGTTTTCAAAAAAGAAGCACCTGGCTCATTGTATTGTTCTACTCTGAGGCAACCTTGGGGGGCCAAGATCCCCATCCTTAAGCTTGTAAGGATCATGATGCTTGTGAAGCTGTTTCAAGTGTTTTGCGACACTTAATAACTGCTGCTTGCTGCCTGCCTATCCTAATTCTCTAAGGGATGAAGAACTCTTCAGTGAGCTTCTAGTCTCTGTTAAGGCACTTTAAAATGTCACCACTTTTCCCCCTCCTGTCACCCATTGTACCAGATCCAGACTCACATCAAACCATGTGAGCTACTTAAGAGTTAAATTGTGTGTTTTATCTGATATTGTCATAGACTTAGCATGTTAGCTCTAAGCCACTCCCATCTCTAAAGCTTTTATGTTAAAATTATATTTAAAGCTGTATCAAAATTACTACTTTGAATGGTATACAGATTGACAAATAGATTGCCTATTGTACAAATGAGGAAATTTGTTGCTCTTCATCTGGAGAGGTGCTGCTGCTGCCAGCCATTTTGCTATCAGCAAAGCTTCCAAATCGCTTCTAACAGTAGTGGCTTGTGTTGTACCCTGGCACAAAGGGACTCCTTACCTTAGGTCTCCTAAGAGGTCAGTGGCAGAGATAGAAATGGAATATTGTTATGTAGCTTTAAAACAGCAAAGCTGAAAAGCTGACATTTTGCTTTCCCTTTTTCTCTCCATCTTTCTTGTTAAAGGAGTGGTTAACGTGTTGCTAACAACTCCACTCTGGGTGGTAAACACCAGACTGAAGCTGCAAGGGGCAAAATTTAGGAATGAAGACATTGTACCAACAAACTACAAAGGTATCATTGGTAAGTATCTCTTTGCTGAGTTCCTGTTTAAAGGTTTTCCTTCTTCTTTGTATCTGGAATATGTTGCCACATAAAGCTACATAACAGAAAACCTCAAATCTCGGCATCCATCAGTAGCATTTTTTTTTAGCTCATGTGTTCGTGGATTGATGTGGTGGATTTGGCTCATCTAAGCTAGCCCTAGCCTGACAGTCTCAGCCCACGTGTCTGTCCTCCTCTTTCTGGGACCAGCATGAGCATATTCTCCTCATTGTGATGGCAAAAGCTCAAGAGGACACAGCCAATCGTATAAACACCTTTCAACCCTGTTGGCACCTTGTCTGTTGACATCCCAGTGGCAAAGGACATCATATAGCCAAGCCCGAGACAAGAGGTAGAGAAGTATAATTCTCCCAGAGAGTATCAGTGGGAAGGGATGAATATTTTTGAAGAATAATCCATACTTTTTATTCCAGTGCTGTCTTTGGATAGATACCAGATTGGTATCACATATCTTTGAGCTTCTGCCTTTCAATAGCACGGCATCACCAGGTTCTCCTTTTCCTATCACTCTTTGTAGTGAAATAGTGGTTTTTAGAAGTCAGATACTGCATAATAAACTCCAGGAAACAATCTTACCTTTTCTTGTACTGGACTTTGTTATGAAATATGTGGGCTCAGTTCACAGTTCTGTATAATCCAGAGTTCCCAGTGATGGTGATAATGACTTAGGAGAATATGACATTCTAGCCTGGATCATCAGGAATGGTTGCCTGTGATTGAAGGTAGTCTCTCGATAACATGGTGACTGTCAGTGTCTGATTATCAAAAAATAATTAAGTGATGAACTTGCTCCCAGACTATCATTGCAAGAAGGAAATTTTTTTCCCCTTTTTTTTTAGTTGGAGTCTCACTGTGTCACCCAGGCTGGAGTGCATTGGCACAACCTTGGCTCACTGCAACCTCTGCCTCTCGGGTTCAAGTGATTCTCCTGCCTCAGCCTCCTGAGTAGCTGAGATTATAGGTGCATGCCACCATGCCTAGTTAATTTTTGTATTTTTGGCAGAGACAGGGTTTCACCATGTTGGCCAGGCTGGTCTCAAACTCCTGATCTCGTGATCTGCCCACCTTGGCCTCCCAAAGTGCTAGGATTACAGTCGTGAGCCATTGCACCTGGCTGCAAGAAGGAAATCTTTATAGAACCAGTATGGTTTGCGTTCGGGATACGTTTGAACAGAATTCATGTTGTCTTCTTTAGTTAGGGGATTGTCATCATGCTTTTCAAAAGTCCCTCATTTCTTGCTTAGATGCTTTTCATCAGATCATTCGAGATGAGGGAATCTTGGCTTTATGGAATGGCACATTTCCCTCCTTGCTGTTGGTCTTCAATCCTGCCATCCAGTTCATGTTTTATGAAGGTTTAAAACGGCAGCTTTTAAAGAAACGGATGAAGGTAATCCCTGATTTTGAAAGCAATAAAATAATTCTCTCTGACACCTTCTTCTTGACTAGATTGATGTGATTTGTTCTTTCTTTGCTTTCCAGCTTTCTTCTTTGGATGTGTTTATCATTGGTGCAGTAGCCAAAGCGATTGCCACCACGGTCACCTATCCCATGCAGACGGTACAGTCAATTCTGAGGGTGAGTGCTGGGGTTCTCTTCACATTTAGTCCAACAGCGTTTTATTATATGTGTCTCTATTTAAAACATTGTTAATAAAGCAATAGAGCAGTTAGATGGTATGCCAGAGTATTCCCTATCCATTTTTTTTTCTTTTCTTTTTTTTGAGACAGGATCTCCCTCCGTCACTCAGGCTGGAGTACGGTGGTACAGCATGGCTGTCTGTAGCCTTGACCTCCTAGGCTCAAGCAGTCCTGCCTCAGCCACCTAAGTAGCTGACTACAGGCATACCCCACCTTGTCCAGCTAATTTTAAACTTTTTCTGTGAAGATGAGGTATCACTATGTTTCCCAGGCTTGCCTCAAAGTCCTAGACTCAAGTGATCTTGCTACCTTGGCCTTCCAAAGTGCTGAGATTATAGGCTTGAAACATTGTGCCCAGCTCCCATTTTTTCATTTGTTTGATATTCTGTTTAACTAGGCTAGCTGTCATTGGTTTAGAATGCAGTTTGCATTTGTGATTTTGTAGGTAACTTAATGTCTCAGAAAACACAGATGTGAAGACAAGTTCTTTAAAGACCTCAGGAAAGCTTCCTTCCCATTCAAGTTAATTGGCTTGGTGCCCCAGGGCTGATTATCCTTTACAAAGTCAGAGGTTAATTCCTTTAGTTCACTCAGGAGGAATTAATGATTTAGCTTTTCTGAAGCACTTTCAAATTTCTGTTTTTTAATTCATTCAGTTATTTATCCATTCAAATATTTATTAAGTACCCACACTGTGGGAGGCCCTGGGCATGCAGTAGTAAATAAAAGTCATAATCCTTGCCCTTTTGAAGCTAATGGAAGAGAGACTGAATAGGTAAACAAGCAACATAAATAGTTAATTACAAATTGAAAAAGGAGCTATAAAGGAAATTATTTAGTGGAGAGGGGCATGGTGGGGATCTTTTAAGATAGCATGATTGGAGGTGTGCTTCTTTGAAAAGGGTTATTTAAATCAAGATGCAAAGGAGCATAAGACCCTAGCTGGGCAGGGTGGGGGAAAGTGCATTCCAGGCAGGGGGAGCATGATGTGTGTATTAGTCCATTCTCAGGATAGTCTAAAGGACTGCCTGAGACTGGGTAATTTGTAAAGGAAAGAGGTTTAATTGACTCACAGATCAGCATGGCTGGGGAGGCCTCAGGAGACTTACAGTCATGGCAGAAAGGGAAGCAAACACATACTTCACATGGTGGCAGCAAGGACAAGTGCAAGGGAACTCCCCTTATGAAACCATCAGATCTCATGAGACTTATTCACTACCACAAGAATAGTAGAGGGGAAACGCCCCACAAGATTCAGTTATCTCCACCTGGCCCTGCCCTTGACATGTGGGGATTATTACAATTCAAGTTGAGATTTGGGTGGGGACACAGCCAAACCATATCAGTGTACTAAGAATTTGGTGCATACTAGGGACTCAAAGGAGGCCTTTATGCCAGTAGAGTAGCTCAGGATGAGATTGCAAAAGTAGGAGGGAAACTGTAGGTGAGGAATCTAGATTTTTATCCTCAGCACTTTAAGCTGAGAATATGTGATGGGAAAGGCTTTAAGCTGGGGAATATGTGATGTGATTTGCAATTGGAGAAGATTGTTGTCCCCATTATGTGGCGAATTGGTCAGAAAGCTAAGAGAGAAAGCTAGGGGCAATCTGGTAGGAAGCCATTTCAGTAATACAGGCCAGAGAGGATGGTGGCCTGGACCATGGTGGCAGCACTGGGGAGGAGAGGGATAGGATGAGGACAGATTCAAGATCTGTTTTAGAGACTGGGCATGCTGGCTCACACCTGTAATCCCAGCACTTTGGGAGGCCAAGGCAGGTGGATCACCTGAGGTCAGTTGTTCGAGACCAGCCTAACCAACATGGAGAAACCCCATCTCTACTAAAAATACAAAATTAGCTGGGGGTGGTGGTGCATGCCTGTAATCCCAGCTACTTGGGAGGCTGAGGCAGGATAATTGGTTGAACCTGAGAGGGAGAGGTTGCAGGGAACCGAGATCACACCATTGCACTCCAGCCTGGGCAATAAGAGCAAAACTCTGTCTCAAAAAAAAAAAAATCTGTTTTAGAGAAAAATTTTCAAAAGGCTTGTTGCTAGATAAAATAGGGGTGGTCATGAGAGTATTCCAGTTCGGAAAAATTAGTACTTTCTGTTAAAAGCATTTTTACTAAAATTGGTACTTAATATAAGGGAATTCAGTAGCATTCTTATAAATGTATTTTAACACTTTTAGAACATAAACACATGATATGAAGAGCTTAGATTGCAGAGGTTCTAAATGATTCGTTTATCAGAACTTCCTAAAGAAGTGGAAGTTATTACCATCAATATCCAAGTCATCATCCTGGGCATGTTTTTTTCTTTTGAGGTAGAATTTTCCCTATACTTTTCTATAAAATGAAAATGATTATGCTTGCTTCATTGAAAAATTTTTCTTAGGCCGGACACGGCGGCTCACACCTGTAATCCCAGCACTTTGGGAGGCCAAGGTGGGTGGATCATTTGAGGTCAGGAGTTCAAGACCAGCCTGGCCAACATGGTGAAACCACATCTCTACTAAAAATACAAAAATTAGCTGGGCATGGTGCCACATGTCTATAATCCCAACTATTCAGGAGGCTGAGACAGGAAAATCACTTGAACCTGGGAGGTGGGGGTTGCAGTGAGCCAAGATTATACCGCAGCCCTCCAGCCTGGGCAGCAGAGTGAGACCCTGTCTCAAAGAAAAAGAGAAAAAATTTTTCTTATTTTTACTTACTTAATTGAAATATTTCACTCAGTGGAAAAAATACAGGATTAATGAAATCTGTGGTACTCATTGGGTAAATTTATTAATGTATGCTATAAGACACTGCTCTAACCTAATATTCTCTCCAGGTAGAGATTAAGATTTAAAAAAGCAGGGGCCGGGCGCGGTGGCTCAAGCCTGTAATCCCAGCACTTTGGGAGGCCGAGGCGGGTGGATCACAAGGTCAGGAGATCGAGACCATCCTGGTCAACATGGTGAAACCCCGTCTCTACTAAAACTACAAAAAATTAGCTGGGCATGGTGGCGCGTGCCTGTAGTCCCAGCTACTCAGGAGGCTGAGGCAGGA